CGTTCGCCGTCCAAACCCAGTCCCTTCAGATCGGCTTTAATGCAATCTTCCCACCTTCGCTTCGGTCTGCCCCTCGGACGCTTACCATTCGGCACAGCAAATATTAACTTTTTAGGAATTCTCTCGTTACCAAGTCCAACAACTTTACAAGCCCATTTGATTCGCCGCGATGGAATTACCTCAATTATATTACCCGGATACAGTTCACGCAATTCGGCGTTGTGTGTGTAACCGTCTGAACTCGCCGGTTAACTCATCCTTCTTCGGTCCGAATATTCTACGCAAACCATAAGACGCTGCTCATCCCTTAATGTAAGCGGCCAAGTTTCGCATCCATAAAGAACTGTAGATATATATATATATATATATATATATATATATATATATATATATATATATATATATATTTTTTATTTTTATTTTTTATTGTTTGATGTTTACAACTGTATTATAAAAAAAAAATACAACTAGCAAATGTGCACACAGCAAATAATACAATCACATGAAAAAGCTTGTTGAGAAACTACCCATTGGTAGCACTCTAATAATATATTTACATAAGCAGATCACGAGGCCATCTTCTTTTCAGACGACTCGGAGGGAATGAGCTATTATTTATAATTTGTATCTCATGTTATTAACCTCGCCTTGTTCATGCTTTCACTTCTATCGTGAGGCCTAAAGCACACACCTTAGTTTTTTTGTTGAAATTCTAGAGATCTGCTATCATCCCTTTAAATATTTCCCTTCCTCTACTTACGGGACACCTTTTATACAAGCAATATTCTTCTTTTCGGACCGGTTCGGGACAACATATCTGGATTGCATATAATCATTCCTCTAGATACTAACTAGCCTTGAATGCAAGCGATTGAGAGTTGGAAACAATTACAGAGGTTGCGGACGAGACGGTAATGAAGTAGGCTGGAACGGTCCACTCCTGTTACTGACGTCCAGCCTTTCCAATCACAACTCCACAACAAAACCATCCTCTCCTACCTCTAATTAGCATGCGGTGGGTGCCGGCTCTGTTTAATCACCAACTTCTAATTCAATATTCGATCAGTCTAAGCTTCGGTGGTCGCCGGCAACTCCATACGGTCTATCGCCTGTCCGGGGACGGCAAAAAAAAAAAATAGTTATCGAGTCTCCAAAAGGGATATGGCATAAATACCGGGAAGCTAGGTTATATTACACATCTGACTGGTATTGGAACTGAAGGTTATATTAAACAGCTGATAGGTACTAATCACTAATATGACCTTCTTATCCTGCGTTTATGGAATTTACATGAGATATCTCACAAAGCCATCCAAATATATTTATTTTTTTATTATTATTTCTTAATGATATTTACAACTGTATTGAATAAATACATCTAGTAAATTTGAACATAATGGATATAATGACATGAAAGCACTCGCTGAGCAACTACCCAATGGTAGAACTCTAATGATATGTCTACACTAGGAGATCACGAGGCCATCTTATTTTCAGACGCCTCGGAGGGTTATCAGGAATCGAATAGGAAGCAAGGTTAGAAACGAGAGGGTTGGGATGATTCTTAAGTTTATTATGGAAGTATAGGTATCTAAATCGGGCCAAATCTGAAGCATAAGAAACATTAAGGTCATTATGGATGGTTTTATTTGTTACAAAATAAGGAGCATTGAGGATTTTACGAAGGATTTTGGATTGTAAGGATTAGATACGAGAGAAATTCGATGGTTTAGTGGAGCACCATAGCTAAACTCCATAATTCCAAATAGGCCTTATTATAGTCAAGTATATGAGTCTTTTGTAATTAATTGGAAGTTTAGAGCGTTTGTCTAGTATGTGTTGAAGTAATCGGAAACGTCGAGCGGTTTCTTGTCGTTTCAGTCTAGTATGAGGATTCCAAGTTACTCGTTTGTCCAGATGGAGTCCAAGGTATCGGATTTGCTCAACAAGAATAAGTGGAGTATTGTTAAAGGAAACTGTGGTACAGTAAGTCATCGGTTTACGACGAAGGGTAAAAGTAATATGGTGGGATTTATTGGAGTTTATTTCAATTCTACAGTTTTGACACCGTTCTTCAAGATTTATGATGCGTGATTGAATTGCATTTGGGATGCAATTGATGGGTCATTATTTACTGATAGAATACATATGTGGTGATGACAGGGTTGGGATAGGTAGGGATGTCAGCTGTATAAACTGTATTTTATACAGTGATAGGATATCCAAATATATACTGAAGAAAAGTAAGATGGCATAAACGCTGGGGAGTTAGGGTATATTACACCTCTGATTTATACTAATCACTAATATAACCTTCTCCTCCTCCGTTTCTGTAATTTAGAAGAGATATCACAGGATGCTATCCAAATGCATACTAAAGTAAACGGAAGATCGCATAAACGCAGAAGAGGAAGGTTATATTAATCACCTTTTGGGACTAATCGACTGTTCAATATAACCTTCCTCTTCTGCGTTTATGCGATCTTCCGTTTACTTTAGTATGCATTTGGATAGCATCCTGTGATATCGCTTGCAAATGTATTATTTTTTTCTTTCTTTCATTGCTTTTATTTATTTCAACATGTTATGTAATTTTTTTTTTTTCTTGATGATGCCTGAATTGTTTATATGTTGGAAGGTTAACCGTTCACCTGTATGTTAGATATTCCAGGCTATATGGCTTAGGGTTTTCTATTTATACCTTAATTAATTCATGTTCATATTTATTTATTTGACTGAAAATACATGCTTTTTTTTTCTTTTCTTTTACTTACAAAATTTTCTTATTCACAATTCCATTTACCTTAACATGGTGCTACCTTCACCATAAAAGAAACAAAATCCTAAGACTAAACAATAAAAATAAAAGTAAAACAAAACAAAAAAAAATATATATACAAAGATAAATCCTGGGTTAGAGTCCCCAGGTCTCACAAGTATTAAGATTTTCGTCAAAAGCTATGCAGATATTTATACAATAACTTGCTGCGTTATAAATATTTTAAATATGTATATATATATATATATATATATATATATATATATATATATATATTATATATATATATATATATATATATATATATATATATATAGAGCCAATACATGCAAAATTCAATAAAAATAAAATTAACAATCAATTAGTTAAATTTACTTGATTAACAAAAAAATAAATGGATACGCAGAGTCACACGCACATTCCCACTCATACATATATGCATACCTACTTACACCCGCATACACATCCACAATATTCATAAAATAATACATAGTTAATAGCATACACATATTGTTTTTTTCGGTAATATATCTTATTTAAGCACAAGTGGAATTCAATATTGAACGTTTTATATTAAATCGCATTAAAATCTAAATTATTATGACATAAAAGTTTCTAAAAAAAAAAATCAGATTAGGGGTGATGACTATTCTATTTATACCTTAATTACTTCATGTTCATTTAAAGTGATATATTTTTAATTGTAAATACAAATATTAAATCTTGTTATAACTAATACTTATCACCCTTCGAGGATGGTATAACAAATTATTAAAGCACGACTGTTTCTGTATATTAAGAGGAATAATGACACACTTGCAGGACTCTGGGGTACTTTCGGTATACCTCTCAGAAGGTGATGGCCGTTTGATCTCGATCAACTTGGCAAGCTCCTTGTTCATTATGAGGATATAATGACATTAACTCTGAAGTGTCCGCTCAACTCTGTAACAGCCAAGTGTGTGAGGGGGGCAGGGTACTTCATTATGGATCTATTGGTCCCAGTCACCAACTTCGATCAGTACTTAGCCGATGAGAAAAATTGATTGAAATCGATAATGAACCAGTCTAAGGACCAAGAGATCTTGTATTTGCAACTTTTTGTTAAACTGAATTGTACATATTTTAATCTTTTGCATTAGGCGACTAGTGAATTATTCCTAAACAAAGCTATAGTCCCTCAAATATAAGTAAATACGTTTCGCTATTTCTTGCACTAATAAATAGAATATGGATGGCTAGTATAGTCGTTTACTCTATCTTCATTTGAACGTTCAGACAAAAAGGTATACTTTTATGAAATTCAAAGAAAAAAAACTCTTTTCGGCCAATTTGATTGCAGATACACTTCTTCTTTAGGGCTACCAGCACCTAGCTGGTTAGATATCCTATAGCTTAAGCTAAGAATTTTCCATCTTTTAAACTCCCACCCAAGAAATATCTTTCAGGTTTTTTTTTCTCATTCTGCCATATCTGAATAGAAATATTTAGTTTAAAATATACTTTATTAGCTTTTATAAATGCATTTTTGCAAATATTTTGTAGTCTCGTGTTTGATAGTGGTATAGGTCATACCACGATGGACTCAGACCACACCTCCAATTCCCACCACATCTCCATGACATATTTTAATTTTTAGCTAAATTTGGACATTTTTTAATATTTGAAAAGTGTTGTCTCTATCTTAGAGTGGGTGAGTAATGATATCCAGAGCTTAAGATCCTCGGTTCGAATCCGGCTGATGACTAGTAATTTTTCATCTGCCGTGAATCGACCCTGAGGTTAGGAGAGCCTCTTGGGGCACACCCAGCCTCTATAAAGAGGGTATTCTTAATTAAATAATTAATTAAGGGCGGAAAACCTGGATTTTGAGCTTGATATCGGCCCAATTCCCTCTTTGGCATATCGGCACAACCTTTGGCCTTATAACAGTACTTACTCACATAGTACTGGACCCTTCATGGCATGTATTGGTACAAGTTTATCTCACTCTTATATACTTTCTTTATCAATGAATTAAATTACAGTTCTAATTTACATTAGTTTTTTTTTTCCTCATGGAAATACCAAATTGGAGGATTGTTTCGAAGGCTACCAACAACTTGGGATTCAGTCACCCATACCAATCAGTTACTCCAAAGACTTCCGTCGAATTTCAATTACTTAGGCAATAATTGAGACTCTTCTTATAAGGCGCAGGGAATAAGATTTATTGCGCGGCATGACTAGCCGGAGAATGTCTTTAGAATTACCTTCATCCATAGAAGGCTCAGTCGCACTCACTTCCTCATGGATTATCTTCGACACTCACGACATCTACAACGTAAGTTTATTTATTGCCAATTAAAGTTCATAATAGTCGATGGTTAATGCATGATCGAGAACATTCCTTGCAAGTATATTCATTGGTAAGGTGATATACGTTGGATTCCATCTGTTGAGATAGCTCAAAATTATTTATTTTCTTTCATTGTCTTGTCTTTAATTACACGATGCTTTTAAATGACTTGAATAGCCTGTCAATTATAATAAGACGGCATTACAACACAGAAGTGTAAAGGGTTTCGACATCTAAAGGCGGCCTCTTACAACACTCCAATTCAAACGATGAAGGGGCACGAATGGAGTGTTTGTGCTTCAAGCACCAATATCAGTGATTCAGATTCTTGTAATCATTTTTAAATTTCATCTCTTAAATAGTACGATTCTAAGCAATACTAACATACATTATTTCTGAACATTACATTAAGAGTAATTAGCAAGTTTATTTTTTAAATTTTATTAACAACAAAAATATTGTTGGACTTAGTGGCAAAGGAATCCCTAAAAGTTTGATATGCACTGTGCCGACTGGTACGCGTCCGATGGGTTGACCAAAGCAAAGGTGGGTGAATTACATATAGGCTGATCTTGTGGGTTTGGGTTTTGGTGGCGAACAATGGAGGAAGGTGCATAGATACTGCCTACTATAATATCTCTTTTTTTATAAAGTGAAAAAGAATTAATAAATACGTATTTTATACTAAAATTATACAAATATTTCAATATTAAAATTAATGTACTTCTCAAGTTAATATTTTTTTTTAATTTACTCATGATATTTACAACTGTATTAGAATATAAATACATCAAGTAAATGTGTACAAAAGAATATATTCACATGAAAACGCTTGTTGAGAAACTACTCATTGGTAGCACTCTAATAATACGTCTACATAAGGAAATCACGAAACTTTGTTTTTAATTTTATATTGTAATATAATATTAATTTAAAAATTAAGAACACCCATACTATAAAAAAAACTACTAAATTTTTTTAGATCTTTGTTCGGTGCCCCAATTTAGAGTATCCATTAAACACATGTTTCAAAAGGATTGTTTTTATGTACTCGAGTGCTAGTACATATAAAATTGTCCTGCGTCCATTAAAGAGAGAATCCTTATAGAGAGGTTTCACTGTATAGTTTTATGTTTAAAGCGGTGAACCCGGTGCTCGGGATTAAACAAGGATAAATCCTATGTTTAATTTAAAAGTACAGACCATTTTCGAGGCTTTTGAATAATCTTTTGTCATTATCCATTCTTTAGAGGCGTCAGTCCCCTCCTTCCTAGGACACGCCTATATAAATATAGCCCTAAGGAGACATAGTCCATATTTAGCCCCCCTCCCCACCTCAATATCTAGGTACCTCCCTGATATTAAGCTGTCAGCCAAGTGACGACCACAAATTAGCTGCTGACAGGGCAGACTTCTGCCCCGGGGCAGATTAGCCGAAATAGGAGCTGCACTAATCACTTAAGCACTCAGCTAATACAACTTCATTTAGCTGTCAAATACAATACCTAATTAAAGTCAATCCCCGACTGACAATCCTCTTCCCAGGTGAGACATCCCATGTATACATACCGGGTCAGGCTATGTTACATATCGAATAAATATCTTGTCATTCCATTATCAGTCAATGAATTTATCAGAAATTTAGATGAACGCAATAAAATCCTCATCTATCTAAATTATCGAACATATTTACAATTACATTAAAAATTAAAAAAACAAAAATTACCGCGATATATAAAAAAAAATTACCAATAGTGTTTGAAAATACTTTCAGACAAAGAAAATTTTTATTTGATTTGTTGGGTTTTTGATAGTCAGGTTTTAACAGGCCATAAGGGAGTTTCAACACGCAGGTTGCGCCGTCAAAATTTTTAAGGAGGACACATTTCGACGGAGTTATGAATTTTCAGGCTTAAAAATTTAAAACAAAAAGACAAAGGAATACACCTCAACAAGTGTAATTGTATATGATTTACAGTACTTTTATTTATAATGTTTTTAAGAAGAGCAGATAAATAAAATATTTTGAGAAAAGGAGGGAAGAGGTTCATACACCATCGACTTTGGCAGGGGAATAGCACCCATAGGTTTTAAAATATTGCAATTAAAAAAATCGTACAAAATTATATATATATATATATATATATATATATATATATATATATATATATATATACTTTTTGGTTCGGTTCATTATTTTAAAAATAAACCATTCAGCGGGGGCGGTACCTCTCGACCTCCTGCTACGAGAAGATGTGACCAAACAATTTCAAGAAAGAAGGCTCGGCAGGAGTTCCAGAAAATCTCCGGATGAGGATTGTGGAAAGTCCCGACGAATGTGAGAAGATAGTAGGGAGGATATGATTGAGGAGCCATCGGTGGGTTGCTACCCCGAAAGGGAGTACTCTTAGGAAATACTTTCCCACCATACAGTCGCGGCTAGATGCACAATGGGTCCTCCCGGACTATTGGGTTTCACAATTCCTCAGAAGGTGTGGGGGTTTTCGAGCTAAGCTACATAGCTTTGGCCAGGACATAGATCAGTAATGTCGTACTTGAGAAGTTCTGGAGACTGCCAAGCACGTGGTCACGAAGTGCACTGCATTCGAAGGAATAAGGGCAAAACTGATGAGAACCGCGGGTATTTACGTCCTAACAGAGGATTGACTTCCTCAGTTGGTAAGTGAGGAGAACTTTTCTCGGTTCAAGAAATTTATTTATGGATGGAAGGAGGCAGTGGGTCCAGCCCACTTCAACAACATCGGAGCACAGAGAAGAGGACCACCACCAAGAAGACCGCCGGAAGACGGTCACCCTTGATCAGAAGTCACCGAAGAAAAAAAAACTTACAAGTTGTAACTGTTGCAAACTGTCACTTTGGTATGGTTATTTCCTAACTTGTTTATGGTTATTTTATATTTCCTTTAAGTTTGTTCTACATATTTTATTTTATTTTAAGTTTATTCTACCTCCATTTTTCGGTATGTAATATGTAAATAATTGGTATAACCAATATACTTTTGCATTTAACTCCTCTAATATTTCATTCGGGCTTAGTTAGGTTTCTCCTATCTAAAAAAATACAGTAATATCTCTATAGTAATAAGCTAATAAGTAACTGCAAGACTTTTGCGAGACTCTTGCAGAATACCAAGATCATGACCAAGACTGAATTTGCAAGAACAAAACTCGTCTCGGTCTCGCATTTGGGCACCACTATTTTTGATATTTTGCAGAGTTTATTATGTCTGTACATCGATATTTGTATTTTTTTTTTTTAACGCCTATAGTTTGAGGTTGATGAATAAAACAAAATGAGGTCACCGGAATAGAAAGAAAACGTGTAAAAGTTTTCACTCACATCAATGGTTAAAAAGAAGAAAAGCGAAGAAGGAAAGCGGTGAGTTGTTACCGGAGTGAAATATTTATAAAGATTGGATGGGGCCTTTCGTTGCGGTCTTTCGCCTCTGGAAGCACTAACTCTGATTGAAATCATACGCTGCACTCCACCCAGCTTCTTTTGATCAGCGATCTCTCGCCACGGTATCGGTGTCATCGGAGGGGTTGCACCCGGTCTTTTACTGTCCTTCGGAAGATGGGGGAGGGGAGTATAGCATTTGATGGCGTCAGGGCTTAGATGAGATTTACGGGAATAGCTAGGCGGAGAGACTTAACGACAGCACTGAAGGCGACTGCTCTTAAAACAGACTTCCCGCGGAGAGTCTTAAGCTACTCGTGAAATCCGTTCGGAGAGTATATGGCCGAAGATTTGGTCGTTTATTTCTCAAAGACAGCCGACCGAATGGCTAAAACTAGCGAATAAAATCGATTAGAAAAAAAAAAACTAAGGTGTGTGTTTCTGACCACACGATAGAAGTGAAAACATCAACAAGACGAGATTAATAATATGAAATATAATTATAAATATTAGCTCATAATAATAATAATAATATGGCTTAGCGAACCCGAAGGTTCAATGCCGATACTACTAATCGATATCCACATTCTTCCATCCACCGGGCTCCGTCTAAACACAACCCCGCCAAATCAGCCTTAATACAATCTACCCGTCTTCGCTTTGGTCTACACCTCGGACGCCCGCCAGTAGGTACCAGTAGGTAGAGCAAATTAATTTTTTATAAATTCTTTCGTTATTAAGCCCAGCGATTTTACATGCCCATTTTATCCGCTTCAACTTAATCACCTCAATTATATTAACCAAATACCGTTTACGCAATTCAGCGTTGTGTAACCGCCTAAATTATTCTGTTGATTCATCCTTCTTCGGTCCGAATATTCTGCGCAATACTTTATTTTCAAAAATCTTAAGACGTTGCTCATCCATTAATGTAAACGTCCACGTTTCGCATCCATAAAGAACTGTAGGTAAGATTTTGTAAATTCTAATTTTTAAGTTTTGGGACAGGAGGCGAGAACTAAGTAATTTTGGCAAAGAAAAATAACAAGCATTTCCCGCCTTCAGCCTAACTTTAATTTCATCTTCAATTTCGTTTTTTCTAGTTATCATAGATCCTAGATACCTAAAATTTTGTACGTGTTCAAACACATTCCCTTCTTAATCGATATCATCGAAATTTTCGCTGTGTTTGCAGCAAACAATATATTTTGTCTTATCCGTTTATTTCGAGCCCTAGTTCTTTACCAGCTTCCATTAACGTTGTTGTATTTAGTTTTATTGTTTCCATGTCTTCGCTTAACAGTACCAAATCATCAGCATACCCAAGCACGGATATTGTTCCACCCAAGTTGGCTCATTAGCTCATTATAAAGAAGTTGAAATGCTGTACATTTCCCTCGATTACAGTACGCAGGTCCGGTTTTTTTAGTTTTGAGTTATTTTAATCAATAAGCATACAAATTTTAATTAGTTGACTCAAGCCGACTTTACCCGAGCGCAACACAGCGGAAAAGTACAAGAATCGAACATACTAGACTGACACATCTCCACCTCGTAACAAAATCCCCAGATGACAAAAGTGTGACCAGTCATTAACTATAAAACATGTTATGGAAGAGCCTTTTTACACTGCAAGGTTAAAAGACCTCGGAATACCCCTGAATATATCAGCATTCCGAGGAAATCAAGAAGAAATCCTTATCAAAGCTATGAAGTTCCTTGACAATGAAAAAATTATAAAAGATATATGACAAGTTTATAACTAACGGTCCTTTGGAGATTTATTTATTAATTTCAATTCATTTATTGATTTTATTGCTATTTTTTTTGTTTATTTATTTATCTATTCTATCTTATTATCTATAAATGTCTCTATTTTTTTTCTTTTATCCTTTTTTATCTTCATTTCTTGTACCAACCACCTGAACAGTATAAACACTATAAATAACACTATTTAGTTGATCGGGTGCTGATGACCTGGATGTTTTGCGCCTAGACATCCAAACAAATTTTGAGAGGTACCCCGCAGGATATGCATTGTGGAGAAGAATCTTTCCTAAAGGTATAGAGGTACAGAAATACAGAGAAACTGGAGTATCTTAACTACAAATAAAGGTATATATTAAAAATATTATACAAAGAAAAAAATACTAGTTATACCTAAGGAATAGGTTCCGGTTTAAATTGTATTACTTCCTGTCCCACCTTATCCTTTAACAATATTCTTATTGTTCGACCCTTGTCGAACAGATCCGTTACCTAGGACTCCTTCTTGACAAACGCCTTATCAGGAATCCTCATACTAGACTTAAAAGACAAGAAACTGCCAACAGATTCCGACTACTACAACACTTACTTGACAAACGCTCTAAACTTGCAATATTCTACATAAAACTAATTTACACTACCATCATCAGGCCCATTTGGACATATGGTATTGAGCTTTGGGGTATTGATCTTGTCTTTTAAAGGGCTCTACAAAAACATTAAATTCTTCCCGTATCCAATCCTTACAATCCACAAAATCCTCCGTAAAATCCTAAATGCTCCTTATTATGTAACAAATAAAATTATCCATAAAGACCTCAACATTCCTCTTGTGGAAGACTTGCCCGCAACTAGATATACCTCTTTCCATTCCAAACTCTTTGGTCTCCCCAATCCTCTAGTTTGTAACTTTCATCCAACACAATTCCTGACAACCCTCTGAGGCGTCTGAAAAGAAGATGGCCAAGGGACCTCCTAAATTAATTTATCTTTGAAGTGTTACCAATGGGTAGCTTCTTCACAAATACCTTCATGTAATATATTCCTATAGCAAATTTACTGGTTGTATATATGTTTACAGTTGTAAATTTCAATAAAATAAAATAAAAATTGTATTAGTACTTTAATAAAAATTATAAAATATCGTTAATGTATAACTTTATATTATTATGCAAATGTTTTTTAATATTATGAAATATTTTTCTATTCTATTCGCTTCCTTTGATGTAAATATATTCTCTGGGCAAC